GGGATGGAGTTGGGGATGGGATGGGGATGGAATGGGGATGGAATGGGGATGGGAATAGGATAGTATGGGGATAGGGATGGTATGGGGATAGGGATGGGGATGGGATGGGGATAGGGATAGGGACAGGGATAGGGATAGGGATTGGGATGGGATGGGATGGGGATGGGATGGGGATGGAGATGGCAGGGGATAGGGATGTAGATGGACATGGCATGGGGAGGGGGACAGGATGGGGATGGAGATGGCAGGGGATAGGGATGTAGATGGACATGGCATGGGGAGGGGGACAGGATGGGGATGGAGATGGCAGGGGATAGGGATGTAGATGGACATGGCATGGGGAGGGGGACAGGATGGGGATGGAGATGGCAGGGGATAGGGATGTAGATGGACATGGCATGGGGAGGGGGACAGGATGGGGATGGAGATGGCAGGGGATAGGGATGTAGATGGACATGGCATGGGGAGGGGGACAGGATGGGGATGGAGATGGCAGGGGATAGGGATGTAGATGGACATGGCATGGGGAGGGGGACAGGATGGGGATGGAGATGGCAGGGGATAGGGATGTAGATGGACATGGCATGGGGATGGGGATGGGATGGGATGGAGAGGGAGATGGAGATGGAGATGGCATGGGGATGGGGATGGCATGGGGATGGGGATGGCATGGGATGGGATGGGGATGGAGATGGCATGGGGATGGGGATGGGATGGGATGGAGATGGAGATGGAGATGGAGATGGGATGGGGACAGGATGGGGATGGGATGGCGATGGGATAGGGATGGGGATGGAGATGGCCTGGGGATGGGGATGGAGACGGCCTGGGGATGGGGATGGGATAGGGATGGGGATGGACATGGCATGGGGTTGGGAATGGCATTGGATAGGCATGTGGATGGAGATGGCATGGGGATGGGGATGGGATTTGGCCCACTCCAGGACTGGGCTCATATACAGGAGGGACGGGGAACAGCCATTGCCTATCTGGGCAGCCTGAGAAAGGTGGGGAATAGGGAAAACATGCGCCAAAAAAAAAAAAAAAGGAAAAAGGAAAACAGTAGGAAAACGGGAGAGACACATATAGAGAAAGGAAGAGGAAGAATGAGATCTGCCCCTCACTGTGCCATCCTTCAGACTCCCTTGCGCTGCTTTGCCTCCAAGCACGCTGTGTTTTATGAATCAGCCCCACTGCAATTGCCCTTCTCCCCTAACCCTTCCTCCAACAGTCCCGGGATCCCCTGTCTCGTGCTGCTTTCTGAGACTTCTTTTCCCTTTGCTGCTCCTGGAATTACTCCTCTGGGTCTGAGGAGGCACTGCCTGGATGGTGCCCTTCGTGTGACCTTCAAGGCACCATCTCAGTCCTGAAGGCAAGGGTGTCGAAAGAGAAAACTAGGCAATGACTCCATCTCCCTCCCTCGTACAGCAATGAAGGACAGGAACCTTGCAGGGGAAAGCTGTGTCCCCTAAGGCTTATCCTGGTAGCTAGGTAACCCTCAACAAATTGCAGGCTAGGAATAAAACCCTCTAATGCCTTGTGCACAGTTACTAAGGAAATCCTCACGATGTCCTCGCTGCCACAAGAGACCCAGAAGAGTGCTACCTGCAGGTGACGTGGCTGAAGCCACCACATCCTACTTCATAGTGGCTGAGCATCGGTTGTGGCAGTGCCCAAAAGACAGAACGACTCCTGTTTCTTATTTCTGGTCCTCCCAAGGCTCGTGGGGGAAGCATCGGTGGTGGGCAGTACCTGGGGATGGGTAGAGGGGATGGGGAAAGGTAGCATTTCCCTGCCCACCAGGACAGGCGATTTCTGGTGGGCTGAAGCACCATCACTCTGTTTCACTGGAGCAAGGCACTCCCGCTTTCAGGAACTCAGTCCACCAGAGATGTTCAAAAGGTGATTAAACAACCAAAAGAAAGTGATGGAAGTTATAACCACACCCCAGTTTGAGGAATCCTCTCAGCTCCTTGGCTTTTTCTGGAAGTCCCTAAAGCAGTATGTTTGGGCTACACCTTTCCACACAGTTCGGTTTGGGTTTTTGTTTTTCTCTGTCATTCAAGCCTCTGTTAACTGTTTAACCGGATAACCAAAATATCTTGAAGACCTTGTGAGTTCTGAACACGTTTATTTGGAAATGGTGACTGATGCTGCCCGTTTTGGCCATGTGATGATGCGCCACCACCTCCCACAGAGCCCAGGATCCACCTCTAGTCCTTGGCAAGGTTTCTTCTGGTTGCTTTTGAGCTTCAAATCATAGAATCATAGAATCATAGAATTGCCCAGGCCAGAAGGGACCTCCAAAGGCCATCTAGTCCGACCCCCCCACAGTCAGCAGGGACACCCCCAACTAGAACAGGTTGCCCAGGGCCTCATCGAGCCTCTCCTTGAATATCTCCAGGCAAGGGGCCTCAACCACCTCCCTGGGCAACCTGTTCCAGTGCTCCACCACCCTCACAGTAAAGAACCCCCTCCTAATCTCCAGTCTAAATCTGTTCCCCTCCAGCTTGAAGCCATTGCCCCTCGTCCTGTCACTACAGGCCTTTCTAAACAGGCTCTCCCCAGCCTTCCTGTAGGCCCCCTCAGGTACTGGAAGGCTGCTGTTAGGTCTCCCTGGAGCCTCCTCTTCTCCAGGCTGAACAACCCCAGCTCCCTCAGCCTGTCCTCGTAGCAGAGGTGCTCCATCCCCCTGATCATCCTTGTGGCCCTCCTCTGGACCCTCTCCATCAGGTCCATGTCCTTCTTATATTGAGGGCTCCAGACCTGCACACAATACTCCAGGTGAGGTCTCACCAGAGCAGAGTAAAGTGGCAGAATCCCCTCTCTGGACCTGCTGGCAACGCTTCTTTTGATGCAGCCCAGGATGCAATTGGCCTTCTGGGCTGCAGCTGCCCACTGCCTGCTCATGTCCAGCTTCTCGTCCACCAGCACCCCCAAGTCCCTTTGTTCAAAGGGGAAGACCAGCTGCTCAGCGTGGGTAGACCCACTGGCGCTAGCAGCACCCCTCCTTTTGGAGAGCTTGGTGCGGGTGGGGGGAGAAGAGGGGGGGATGGAATGGTGATGGAATGGGTTCCTGGTGATGGAGTGGGTTCCTGGTGATGGAATGGGTTCCTGGTGATGGAGTGGGTGCCTGGGCAGCAGCTCAGTGCTCTGTACACCAGGCAAACCGCGGAGAAGCCACTGGAGATGTCCTGCAGCTCTTGCTCGCTGCGGACACCGGGGGGAGCCGCAGCCCAGCGCCTCGGGGAGCCCCCCCCCACCTTCCTCTTGCAGCCCAAGCACATTCTTCTGGAGACGTGGCTCTGTGTCCGCAGGCCCCTGGGATGAAGGCCCTCCTCTTCGCCCTCCCCGTCTGTCGGTGTACTGCATCCCCAACTCTTTACCCGTGTCGTGGTTTTGACCAAACTGACCAACCAGAATGACAGATGGCCCCTTCCCTCCCCCCCCCCCCCCCCCCCCCAAAAAAAAGGGGGAGAGGGGGGGGGGGAAA